CCACCAGAGGTAGTTCCGCCACTGCTCTCCAACACTCCTCTCATGTACATCTCCTATCCGCTGCCATACCCTCCAACACTCCTCTTGTGCATATCCCGCTTACTGCCCCCACCACCACCTGACACACTATTGTCTCTGGTATTAGAAAAAACGTCTTCAGCATTGTTTGTAATATTGACAACATATTGCTTTAAATAACCTAAATGGTATTTGATTCAACTCCATATACAAGCCACAAAGGCGAACAATCTTTTAAAACCCACGTAGATGACCTACTTTTTCTACCCCATCAGAGACTGTGTCCCATGTGATCTCCAACACAGATGTGAGGGTTCTCTTTCCTTCCACCAACTGGATCTTAGCACTAAAAGAATGATAGGGGTTGTAACCCTCCCCCACTCTTAAAAAAAAAAAAAAAGTCCTGTCCCTTTAAGATGATGTGGTATTCATCATAAAACTGTGAACTTCCGAGATGAAAGGGTGCAGGTGCAGGTGTCAGCGACTTCCTCATCGGGCGAGATCAGGGCTGGAAAACTGGTCGAGCCGGCTAAGAACAAAAAGGAAACTGTCTAATGCCACGTTGTCATGTCAAATGAATCCAGCGCGGCGAGTTCCCCCCAGCGGCGGCGAAAATGAAAACCGCAAAGAACTGGCAGAGAAGATGCGTCACAAACACTCAACAAATGCGTCCCCGGCCATTCCATTTAAAAACACAAATCTTTCAATGGGGCACACTTGTTCCTGTGACAACTGTCCGAGAGTGGATTTCTCTTACATAGGAATAGCCTCCCACTTCCTGTTGAGCATACAGGACAGGAAGTGAAGGGAAATCTCCCCAATGGCACGCACTTGGCAAAAAATTTAACAGAACTTTGACCCTCCCCTATCCAAAATAAAAAGGGAAAGCTCTGGCTGTGGATATACTTTAAGTCATCAAGTACAGCTCAAACCAGAACAATTTTTTAGTCGTGGACACAATGTCCTAATGACCCACTGGCGCCATAACAGGAATTGAGGAGAAACCCTCTCAAGAGGACACTTTATCTGGTGGCAACCATATAATAAGACTTCTCCTCTCCTTGCAGAGATTTTTTCTCACTCCCTGTTGTGTCACTGGGCCAGGAAGAGAACAAATCACTCCCAAATGACACTGACAGACTCCTTCTGCAGGGTGACTGGTCTGGTCTCCGCCCCCTTCTGTGGTTTTCTGCAGGCAGCCTGTAGTGGGTGGGGCCTGCTGGGTCCCTCCCACAGCTCTGCACAGACTATGTACAGCACAGCGATGATGTCACCGCTACTTTTATGGAGGTCATATCTCTATTTGCAAAGGCATTTGGGGCGCACAACGTGGATTTATTTCCTTTGAAACTATTAAAAGGTTTTCTGCCTGGACTTCAGCTTTAAATTTGCCTTCGTCTGGATCCACCGAGGGTTCACTGATGCTTTTTTAATTTTTAATTTATTATTTTAGCTTGAAGGCTTGGGGCTGGTGCAGACTTGGGCGATCCCGGGACAGGCGCGATCCCGTGGGGTTGCTGCACGACCCCATGGGGTAACATCCGTGCGGCAATCGCTAAAAAAAAAGGTGCATGTACCTTTTCTTCCACCGCGATTGCACGGGCGGAATCGCGGCAGGAAACCCCACGATCTGCATGGCGGGACTGGGGTGCCATTATCTGCTAATGGCACTGCCACCACAATCAGCAGTGGTGTGCGACTCCGTGACCGAGTGGATTTCATGCACGACTGCCGCCCGGTCTCGGATTGCCCGGGTGTGAACCTGGCCTTAGATGAAGTGTACAGGTCTAATGTAATCAGTCTGGTTATCTAAGATCTGTATTTATTTTCTGGATGGATGGCTTCTTCTTTATTGTATTTTAATCTGCTGGCAATCCACCAGGCTGGGTGTGTGGCATACTTGTGGAGCTATGTGTATCATTATACGAGGTGGAGTTATAATTGTCCTTATTTCCCTAATCACATTGAAATTTGGACATACACACCTCGGAAAAAAAAAAATCAGCTATGCAGACAGGCAAGTTTGCAGGAGATCATTTAAGTACGATGTAATCAAAGAGGACCTGTCATATCCGGGGGCTGAATGGATACTGCAAGTAGACAGGACATATCCAGTGGAAGAGATTACTATCCCAAAAAGGTGGCCATACACTGTGCGATTTCCGTTCAGAAATCATACACGAACGCTGTTCCGAGCAACAATCGAACAGTTGATGGTACATCACCGATTTTCATTTTTGATACTTATTGGATTTGGTCTTGATGCTTGATGGGGAAGACTACGTATAATCGAATGAGGGTTCGTGCCAGAAACAAAACATTTACAATGAAAATCGTACAATGTATGGTCACCTTACGGCCCGGTTCACATCGGAGCGATCCGAGATACCGCGGTGATCCGCAGGGTTTTGTGCGCGATTGTGGAAACGCAAACCGTGCTTGCGGTGCCATTCATTTCTAATGGCACCCCATTTTTTTTTTTTAAATAAAGTATATTGACGTTTTATCAATGCAATAAAGAAAACATATATCAATGGCGCTGTCATTTTTTTATAGCTCTTCCTGGTATCATATAGATCCTTTAATCTTACTGCACTTGCTCTGCCAATGCATGTTGTCTCAGCCAACATGGTTTAGGGTACTCTTAGCCGGTACAGCTAGTCTTTCTGCGCCACCCCTCCATACCGCCATGGTTTAGGGCAGTGGTGGCGAACCTATGGCTCTCTCTGCTGGCACGCGAGCCCAGGTTCAGGGACCACCAATTGAAATAGATCCGGCTGACCTGGATCGCCGTGGTACGCGATCCGGGCCAGTCACAATCAGGCAGCGGCGGCGAATAAACAAATATGTGTTTTATTGAGTGTATAAGTGCTCATTCATACTGGGCATTTTATCGCGCGATATCGCAAGGAGTCGCCATCCAATGCTTTTCAATGGAGCTGTTTTAATGTACAGCTTCATGTCGCCCGTCGAGGACCCTTTTTCACGCGAATGTCGCATGATTTTTCAATTTTTGCATGCAGCCCCAACGGTGAAGGTCGCGCGATCGTCATTAGACCGTCGCCTGAACAGTCGCGCTATCCCGTGAAATCCGCCCAGGTCAGTGTCGCTCAGTGTGAATGGGGTCTTAATGTTTGAATATGCGGGTTTCTCTATTTTGCCTAAGGCAGTGATGTTGAACATTTCTTAAACCTGAGCGCCCAAACTTCAATACTAAACTTATTTTCAGCGCTGGCACTTTGAGATAAATTGATTTTGCGTCGCAGTTTGGGCACTCGGGTTCAAAAAGGTTCGCCATCACTGGTTTAGGGTATACTCTGCCAGTACATCCTGTTCCTACCCCTCATGCTTTAGAGAATGCTCTGCCACTATATCTTGTTCTCCCTTCACCCCCACCCCCCTTTCCCCTCATGGTTTAGGGTACGCTCTGCTAGTACATCTTGTCCCCCCCCTTCACCATAAAGACCCCTATACAGGTCAGACACCCATACAGTTAAAGGAGAACTATGGGGTTAAAGGCTTTTCCCCATAGTTCTCCTTACGGTAATGGGAGGACACAAACTAGTGTCCTCCCGTCACCCTAGGCTCAGTATACCGCGAGCTGCAGCTCGCGGTATACTGAGACGCCGCAGTATACCGCGAGCTGCTGCTCGCGGTATACTGAGACGCTGCAGCTTTTGTGCCCAGCTGCGTGACTGACAGCTGGCTCTGCCTATCTAGAGGCAGAGCCAGCTGTACCCGCCCCCTCCCCCGTCCGTTCCGCCAGTCAGCGCTGGTGGATCGGAGAGGGGGGAATCCAGCCCCTCCCCTGTCACGGCAGAGAACCGTGACAGGATCGAGAGGTGAGCGAACGCCGGTATGTGTTCGCTCACCACCCGATCTACTGAGCCGCCCTGTGACAGTCTCATTGTCACAGGTCGGCTAGAACTATGAGGTGAGTGAAAAGCATTCACCTCATAGTTCTCCTTTAAGCCCCCTATACACATTCCCCTATACAGTTCAGACACCTATCCACAGACCACTATACAAAGACCCTTATACAACTTATACAAAGACATTTACACAAAGACCGTTATACAGTTCAGACACCTATACAGAGCCCCAATATGTAGACGATTCCACTTCTAAAAGCTGTAAGATGTAAGCTACAATTTTCGACTTTTGCACCTGAGAAGCAATGGTGGTAGAGGACCAGAAGACAACTAACGTAATTGTGCATCAAGACTTTCCTTATATTTGTGTATTGCTGGCAGGTTAATATTTCTGTCTGCGTCTCACTGGTCACAAATCTGGTGTGGAGCTGTACAGTGATGACAGTCCCGGACCAGATGTGATTCAGAGGGGTGCGTGTAGGAGCTGCAATAGATGGCGCCCTGTATAAAGCAGGAAGGAAGGAAGTTATCAGCACTCCACAAATATATTTCTCACATTTATCTGTGATGTTACAAAGCTCAAATAGCCAACTTTTCAAGGCCTCGCAAGGTTCCCTTTTCAAGGGCGGCTCAATGACATCAAATGCATTGTTGGAGTGCTGAGGACTTCCTTCTCTGCTACTGTGTTCCACTGGTGAGAGTTACCTTCAGCTTCTGTTACATAGCATAGTACGTGAGAGGAAATCTCTCTGAAGTTAGAACAAGTGTCCCCATTGGAATATTTTCCCTCCTCTCTTTTTCTGGATTTTCCATCTCTTTCAGTGCCAGTGACGATAGTCATCAAGCCACACCAAGAAGATGAATCTCTCTATAGGGGACCTAGTCAGTCGTACAATCCTGGAATGGGGGTCTAACACCTCCCCACTCTAAAACAAATAAAAATAAAAACTTCAAGGTAACACAACTCACAGAGGGTGCGTGGTGTAGTTACAGGCAAGTGTTGGTTGTGCCTTTAAATATAAACAGAAACATGCAAATGTATCACAACTGGAAGATCTGACATACATGGGAAAGAAAAACTCACCTTTGATTACAGGTTTTTCTCCCAGTCGCTGAACGCTTCCGATGGCGGTCTGTAAGGAGTCTTCAGGTAATATCTCAGCAAAGAAATAGCCTAAGTACCAGGCACACACGGAGGCACATAATAATCCGATCACCTTCACCGTAGCTGGGAAAACACAAATACAGAAGGTTATGGACGAGCTCTAGAATCTGTTCAAGAGAGAAGCGGATATATAACGGATTGATATATGGAAGAAAAGTCTTTCAGGATTGACCTAAATTCAAATATTTATGGAACAATTCAAGGCAACAAGTAAAATCAATCCACAAACCTCTCATTTTATCCCGGCGAAGGCTGCTACTGTACTAGTCAGGAAATCAACAAATCTGACTTCTGCATTTAACTACAGCCAGACTTCACATAGCTGCTCACATGGATCATGCATGACGTATATGCGTATGCTTGACACACACAGATGTGGACAAATTTATTGGTACCCTTCCAGATCATTGAAACTAGGGATGCACCGATAACATTTTTTTGGTAACGAGTACGAGTACCGATATTATGCTTTAGGTACACACCGATACTGAGTTCCAATACCAGTGCTTCCGCTAGGATAGAGCCGGCTCCCCAGGGAATCAGGAAGCTGGGCGGCGGGTAATGGCATGCCGCCCGGCTTCCCGATTGCCTGGGAAGCCGGGTAATGGCATGCCGCCCGGCTTCCCGATTGCCTGGGAAGCCGGCTCCATGTTGTTTGTACTTGCCCAAATGCTCGGTATCGGCACCGATACCAATACTAGTATCGCTATAAGTGCATCCCTAGATCATAGTGATATATCTGTAATCACACAGGTCACACAATCGGTCAATGAGCCCTTCTAAATGGAGAAAAGTCATCATCATTCTGCTGTTGCAAAGGAGAGAGTGTTGTCGGAGGAGATCAGAAATAATTTATAGATCAGCATGTCAAAGAAAAGGCTATAAGACCATCTCCAAGCAGCTTGATGTTCCTGGAACCATAGTTGCAAATATTAGGTTAAGGTCCGCGGGAGTGTAGCCAACCTCTCTAGACATGGCCGCAAGAGGAAAATCCACCCCAGATTGAACAGAGTGTATAGAAGACAAATAGCCAAAGAAAACTTCCAAAGAGATACAAGCTGAACTCCGAGGTCAAGGTTCACCAGGGTCTGATTGCACCATTCAATGTTTCTGAGGGACAACAGGCTCAAAAGAAGAAAACTCAGGAGCACTCCGCTGTTGAATGAAAAACCATAAAAACCAGAATAGAATTTGCTAAAATGTATATTGGCAAACCACAGTGCTTCTGGGACAATATTCTTTGAAACGAGAGACAAAACCGGAGCATTTTAGCAAGTCACAGCAGCTCTATGTTCACAGACGAAAATATGAAGGTCTTAGGGAAAATATTGCCGTACCTACTGTGAAACATGGAGGATTGGTTATGTTTTGGGGCTGCCTTGCTGTGTCTGGCAAAGGGTGCCTTCAATCTGTGGGCACAATGAAATATGAAGCCCATCAAGGAATTCTTCATAGAATCAAAGAATTAAACATCCTGCTTTGTCTCAGTCGCAGGTTATGGGCCCTTTAACAGAATAAATAATGACTAAGACCCAAGAATGGCTAAGAATGACTATTCTGAAGTAGCCTTCTATGGGCCCTGATCTGAATCCTATGGAACATCTCTGGAAAGAGCTGAAACATGCAGTCTGGAGAAGGCACCCTTCAAACCAGGGACAGCTGGAGCAGTTTGCCCAAGAAGAGTGGGCCAAACTACCTGTAGTCTGATTTTTATTAAATATGGAATAATAAATGATAAATGGCAATTACTTTGATCAGTCACTTCAGAAAAAAAAAGTGTGGGATATTTTTTTTTTTTCGTGGAAGGGTGCAAATGCAAAACCAAATTTCTTCAACGCCTTTATGAGAACCAGCTTGACCAGAGTGTGTAAGTTTGAACTATAGACACCTTCATGTGAGAAGACCAAGCCATGTTATATGGTTACGTGTAGTGATGTTTCGATACTAGTATGGGTATCAGGGCCTCACAAGTACTTGTACTGAGGCCAATACCAGCCCCTTACATTTTTAAACCACAGTGGCTGTCTGAGTTCCCACGCTTGGGGGAACCTCAGGCAACCTGCTGGAGACCTGGCAGTAGCTGTCCTTAGCAGTGTCTGTCCGATTCTAGATCTCCTGCTCCTCCTTCCTGGCTTGGGCACAGCCATGGACAGCCCCACACCACACGTAAAGCCCTGGAGCCGATGCCTGTTCAACTCTCCACACAGCATTTCAAGATCTACAGGGGGACAGAATTCGACACAACACCAACACATGCCCAATCAGCATAGCTACTGCCCGCAGAGCCCTGCAGAGATCCACGTGCCGCCTAAGTGAGATCAGCACGCAGCCTGCTGACATGTATTCAGCTCTAGTGACATCTGTATATTTAGCTCTGGTGACATGTGTATTCAGCTCTGGTGACATCTGTATTCAGCCCTGGCGAGAAACTGCCCTAAAATCATGAATCTGTATTGTTTTAGAAAAAATGTCACATGTCCCTTTAAGAAAAAGTATTGGTAAACTGGTATCGGTGAGTACCTGAGGGGAAGTACTTGGTCTTAAAAAGTGGTATCGGGACATCCCTAGTTACGTGTCCTAGATACAGTATTTATACTCTGATTTGGTTTGAATTGATTTGTCCACAAGAACATAATAAAACTCTTGATTGTGGAAGTTTCAGAATGTGACCTTCATATGCAGTTCAATACTTTGTGTGACTACTGACCAGGTGGACTGCGCTATTTTAACCTGACCAATCACATATTGAATGTCATTCCTTTCCTGCTGAACCGCTGACCGGGGGGCGCGTGCCAGCACCACATGCCTCAGCAAAAGCTGATTTTTCAATCAACTTTTGTCGGAGGAGTCAGGTGGAAAATTGTTGGCCAAACAGTGACTGAAACCATAGAGCTGCAGCCGCTGCTTAGGTATTCGGACAGCGGCACCCCCTTGTCAGAATACAATAGCTGGCAGGAGCGATTTCTCACTCTACGTTCTTTAGCGTGGATGGGGAAATGGGGTGATTGTGGTGTTTGGCCAGCTTAAGTCAGCATCGGATGATTGGGATTCTATAAATTGGGTATTGGCTACGTGCATAATACATGTTGTCGCTCGGGCCATTTACTTCTTCTGCTTAATATATACCTACGCATTTCAATGTGTCACAGGTTGAGGCTGGGCTCACACCATTTTCCGGACCAGATCTGGAATGCAGTGCATCTCGTTTTTGCCACAAATTTTCAGCGATTCTGCCGCATTCCAGAGCTGTTTTTTTTCTTTTAGCTTAAAAAGGAGAACTATGAGGTGAGTGATTTCCACTCACCTCATAGTTCTAGCCGACCTGTGACAATGAGACTGTCACAGGTCGGCTCAGTAGATCGGGAAGTGAGCGAACACATACCGGCGTTCGCTCACTTCTCGATTCTGTCATGGCTCTATGCCGTGACAGGGGAGGAACTGGATTCCCCCCTCCCCGATCCGATAGCGCTGACTGGCGGAACGGACGGGGGAGGGTACAGCTGGCTCTGCCTCTAGATAGGCAGAGCCAGCTGTCACTCACGCAGCTGGGTGGATCCAGACAGAATTGTCGGGATCCGTTTCAGCTGCGGCGTCTCAGTATCCTGCGAGCTGTAGCTTGCGGTATACTGAGCTTTGGGTGACGGGAGGACGCTAGTTTGTGTCCTCCCGTTACCCTAAGGAGAACTATGGGGAAACGCCCTAACCCCATAGTTCTCCTTTAAAATGGGCTTTCAGGTGCGGTCCAGTGCGTTCCATGCGTTTTTGATGCGTTTCTATGTGTTCCAGTGCATTCCAGACCAGACAAAATTATACATGCAGTATTTTTCTGGTCTGGAACGGACTGCACTGGTGTGAACAGAGGCCAGTAATAGCAAAGGGATACATTAGGATGCATTTTGGATCCGGAAACAATCTGGTCTGGAGATGATCTGAATGTGGTGTGAATGGGTCCTTAGACAGATTAGTTACCTTGTGTTACCCTCAGTGGCGTCACAAAGGGGGTGCGACCCGCACCCGTGTGACACCATTGCAAAAACCTCTAAAAAAGTCAGCTGTCAGGGACCGACAGTGTCAGGAGAGAGAAGGGGACCCCGCAACATAACTCATCCCGTCGGGTGAACGTCCCCTCCTCTCTCTGCTGGCGTCCATCATCAAGATAGCCGCCGGCAGGCGTCAATCAGATGGCTGCGCATGCGCGATGACGTCACACGCACACACGATGACGACACATCGGGGTGTCACCTGGCCTCGGGACGCCCCTGGTTACCTTTTAGATTATTATTTATGTCCATTATATAGACAGATATACTGTATGTCTTCCAGGAAATGACATCACAATTGTTGGTTTTTCCCTATGTTGGGTCAGGAGTGAGACAACCTGCGTTTTTCGGGAAATGATAATAATGCTGTTTTTCTAATATTTACTCTGCGCTTCATCACTTATATCTTCTATTTTTTGGGGTTATTATTACTTTAGTACACTTGAGTCGCACCCCATGTGAATTGGGTGGTATTTTTGGACTGTGCCAATTAGGTGCCATTTAATATAGATGTGTGTGGTTGGCTTTGATCCACGGCAAACAGAGAACGTATGCGTAACAGGGCGATGACAAAAAGTGTCAACATGCTAAGCCGACTGATCAAAGACTGAAACTTGGCATCGAGACGTGTCACCTTTGCAGAGAACATACGTTGTCATTAGCCGGGTCATTCCCAGTGAACTATAGACACATGTACTGTAAGCAAGTTTAAGAGTAGAACTCCAGGCAAAAAAGGCAAAGAAGGCAGCACAGTGGCAACTGGAAGTCCCTGGTTCAAATCCCAGTCAGGACACTATCTGCATGAAGTTTGCATGTTCTCCCTGTGCTTGCGTGGGTGTACTCCCGCACTACAAAGACATGCTGGTAGGTGAATTGGCTCCTCTCTAAATCGGCCCTTGTATGTATGCATGTGAGATAAGGACCTTAGATTGTAAGCTCCTTGAGGAAAGGGACTGATGTGAATGTGCACATATGTAAAGTGCTGCGTAAACTGTCGGCACTATATAAATATCTGTAATAAAT